TGTAATTTTATTATTGTGTAGGAAGATAGTTATGAATTTTATTTTTTTAGTTAATTTTACAAAATAAAAAATTTTAACAAAAAGATATTTGTAATTTGTCAAATTATAAGAGATAATTCATATTTTAATTAAATTTCAGAAGGTGTATTTGCAATTTACCATTTCCTTTTTAACATTATTCACATGGGTTAATTATATTTAACATTGAATTACTTTCATTAAAATTTTATTTTTTGCTTTTTTTTTTTTTTTTTTGAAGTAAATCTCATTTAATCATTCACGCTATATTTAATTTATAAATTTGGATACTGATTTGATACTAAAGACAACCTAAGGCACTTTGAAGTGTAGGTTGCACTTGGACTTTGATCCTGTTTGGTATGATTTATTTTCAGCTTATTTCAGCTTTTAGCTTAATTTAAGCTATTTTGATGTGTTTGGTTCAGCTAACAATACAGCTTATAGCATTTTGTAAGTCAAAAATCAACTTATTCTTTGAGTGAAGGAGGAAAAGCTTAATTTATAAGTCAAAAATCAGCTTATATTCACAGCTATTAGCTATAAGCTGTTATTCTATAAGGTATAATCACTTTCTCACAGTTCTACCAAACAGGACCTTTGTGGCAATCTCCATTGTGAATGCTTAATAAAGAAAACAAAAAAAAGAAAAAATAAATAAATATATAGCCCAAGAAGGCACTATGCATGCTTGGTAAAAGAAAAAATATAGTAATATATTCATCTGCACATTTCCTTTCACCAATAAAAAAAATTTCATTGATAAAAAAAAGAAAAATATAAAATAAGTTTCACTTTTTTGATAAAATTTTCTTGGAATTTTATTAACACATGAATTAGTCATCACAACATAATGTTAATAGGTTTCGATGAAAATTTCATTAGAAAAGTATAATTTATTAAATATTTTTTCAATGATAAACTACTTATACACACACATATATCTATATATTTATTTAATAAGTAAACGTGAAGTTTTAAGAACAAAATATTCTTGGAGCTTTAAAACGTGAAACAAAATTTCTTAATTTTTATATTTTTAATAACAATTAAAAAAATATTGATTGGCTAGCCCATTCATTAGTCAATGAAATTTAAAATTCAAACCTGGATTTTATGGTTTGTAAAAAGAGAGTATCACCACTTTTATTTATCTATATCTATACGAGAGACAGCTTCTTGATTGGGAATGTTTTTGTTTTTTAAGGTGGCATTGTGCCCAATCATATGCACACCCAGTACAGTTTTTCAAAGAAATAAGCTCTTTTCATCGTCGGTCATGGTTGTGAACACAATAACAACAATGCGGAGGGAAGAGAAGGCGAAGGAGCAATCGAAGGAGTCTATGAGAAAAGTCATGTACTTGCACTGTTGGGTTCCTAGCTAATCAATCATCAATCCAATAACTTGACATGGGCAAAAAAAATAAAAAATAAAAATACTACTTTGAATGTACCAAAACAGACATTAAAATTTGAAATGTAAATATGGGGATATAAATTTGTAATCTATATTATATCTGAGAAGTATTTGTCTCTTCTTTAGCAATTAGTTTGGCATATTATTGTTGTTATTGTAGGAATATATTTTCGGAAAATCAATTCAATGCAAATAAATAATAAAAATAAAATACAAGAAATTCTTTCTTGAAATTCTGTATACTTAATATAGATTGTGACTGAGACCAACATTTGCATTGAATTGATTTTCCGAAAATATTTTCTTACAATTATGGTAAATGATTGCTACGGTTGATCACCTCTTCTGTTTTTTTATTTATTTATTACCAAGTCAAAAAAAAAAAATAGAGAAAAGGAGTGTAAATGATAGAAACAATGAAGCTAAATTTTACTTTTCCTTTAATAGCTCTTACCCCTCTTTCTTTCAAGGGTAATTATTCAGTAATCCCAAAGTATAGACATGTGGTGTTTTATAATATTGTGATTGGTGGAAAAGATGGATAGATGAGATATTGTATTGAGTGATTGGGAAACATGAAAAGGCATATTGAATGATAATTGATTAAGGAATACAGACGCATGATACTCCAAAAACATTAAATAATTTTCCCTCAATTCAGATAGAGCCAAATTAAGGGTTGTCCTCCTCGCAAACTATACGAATTGCCCAAGTCCAACCTTTTATTCAAATTTGTTTGCGCAAGCATGGCCTGACCTTAATAAATTAAATTTGGATTTTCAATAATTGGAGTTGAAGCTTTTTTTGAGTAATTTTTTTAAGTTAGCCTGGTTAACATATTTTTGACAAAATTCATAACTAGTATCAAGATAAATAATATCCCACAATATTTTTTTGAATAAGTCTTTCGAAACAAGTTTATTTTTTGTGATCCGGGACTTTACTTTCAAATACCAAATTTCATCTACCAAGTCAAAATTTTATATCGAGCAATGTTATTGTAATAATGGCCTCATTTGGGAAGTGGCTATTTTAGTAGGCTATTTGGCTATTTGGCTATTTTAGTAGGTTATTTTAGTTTTATGTTTGGGAAGATGAGATGAATTTTTAGTTGAGTTGTTGTATTGGAAAGTGTGTTGAAATGATGTTTAAATTTAAAATGACAGATTTATCCCTAACTTTTTCTTTTTAAAATTGATATAAAGGGGCAAAATAATTTTGCCCTTGATGTAACACTGTCCGGCTGTGTGTGCCTACACTGTCCGGGCAGCAGCCTATTTTTTATTTTTTATTTTTGAAAATCAGTAAAAAGGTGTTACAGTGATGGCTTTTAGGCTAATTTTCCAAAAGAGGCTATAATAGCCTCAACCTTTGATTGCCAAACACCCCCTATGTAGTTGGTCGAGTAGTAGCCTCAGTGGTTGAAGATGAAATTTCTTTCTGACACGTAACTCAAAGTGAGCAAGGGTTTTGATTAGGGTAAGAACTAGTATTATATTACGTTTTGGATATAGAAGTGTTTTGAGAAATTCCAAAACAGTACATTTGAATATTTTAAGAGTGCGAAGGGTGTTACTTTATTTAAGTGACCTTTATAAATTAGTCATAATTAAAGAAAAAAAATAACATAATTAAATGTGTATATGATAAGAGATCTGTATTATAGAATTCTCTTTTAAGACGATTTTTATTAGAGTTTTATAATTTAAAACAAAAAATTAGATTTAATTTTTAAGTATAATGATATAACAATTAATTAGAATATTAAATATAACAATCTTTTTCATATATATTATTTAATAATTAACTAATCATATCATTCACACATCATTAAATTAAAAAAATGCAAGATATTGGGGTGATTTGGGAAATTGGTTAAAAGCTGGGTGTTTGGCTTTTTTTTTTTAGCTTCTTTATTCCTTTGTGTGTAAAAAATGTAAGAGGTGATATGATTCAAAATAATTAAAAGCTAAAAACTAACTTTTTACTAACTTTCAAAAGGAAAATGCGTGGTAGCTTGAAAAAGTTGGGGCTCGAATCACTCGAAGGCACCTTTTTTTTTCCTTGTCTTTTTTTCTTTCTTTCCCTTCCCCCTATGTTTTCTCTCTGAAATAGACAAAAGGAGAAAAAAAGGAAAGGAGGGGAACACATAGACACAAAGAGAGAGAGAGAGAGAGAGAGAGAGAGATCTATGTCATAGATCTGTGTATACACACAAAGGAGGGTCGCCAATGATGGCGGCGCCGGTGGGTGGAGGCGTTTACCACGTTGATGGCAGCGCCGGTGGGTGAAGGGAGTTCTGAATTTTTTTCATTTATTTACCTGCAATGTTTACCAAACAGAATGTGAAATCGATTAGCTTTCAAATGTTTGATTTTGCATGTTGGTTGGTGTAAAATTTCCATCTCTCTCTGTGCTGTTTTTTGTTTTGTCTCATAAAACCAACCGGCCAAAAAAAACGCCGGCCGGCTAAACAACACACCCAATTGTCTAGAAAGAAAAAGAAAGAAGAGAAAGAATGTGGGTCGTCTTCCACCTCAAACTAAAAATCAAAACCAAAAACTCTCCAATTCATTAATGGATTCTCTCTCCTCTCTCTCTCCAAAAAGAATTGAAGATTCATAAAAAACACTACTACAACTAATCTCTTTCACTTGTTCTTCACCATCATCTTTCTTGGCCAATCTTTGTAACCAATGAATAATCTCAACCAAACTTGAGTTCACATCTTCTTCTGAGAACACAAAACCCAAATCCATAAACCCTTTTAACTCCTCAAACTCAAGGCTTGACAAGCTTTTTGTCATACCCATATTTGCTCTTCTCCTCATGCTTCTGATTTTCTTGAATTGCTCTCTCTCTCACTTTCTCTCTCTGTGTTCCCCTTCTTTCTTCTCTCTTTCTTCTCTCTTCCTTCCTGTTTCTTCTCTCACCTCTTTGTTTTAGAGAGAAAAGAGAGGGGACAAAAAAAAACTAAAAACGACGTCATTTGGACATTCAAACCAATCGGATCAGCTCACTTTCAAGCTACCTAACACCGCTGCTTTCCAAATTGCCCCATTATAAATTGTCGTTTGGTAAAAAAGATTTTAAGTGACTTTTTTAACTTCAAACTAAAAAATTTGTATCTATCTATCTATATGTGATTTCAGTCCCAACCAACTCAATCCAAACGAAGCCTAAATTCGAAGTGACCTCAAATTTCTCCGATGCCACCCACACACACCAAACACCGAAGACTAATAGGTAAACGATCGCAATCCAAGAAACCCTTCACTCCCTAGTTCGCCTCACTTCATTACGTTGCACCATCAGACCACTCTCTCTCTCTTTCTGTCTCTCTCTGTCTTTGTTCTTATCTACTTTTAATTAATTTTTTATTCAGAATTGTATCTTAATCCAAATCAATTCTTCTTCAAGGCTTCAACCCCTCTCTCCCTCTCTCCCTCTCTCTCTCTCTCTCTCTCTCTCTCTCTCTGTGTGGAGATCACATGGTTGGGACTCGACGATCATGGCTTCAATGTCTGGCCTTGGCGTTAACATTATAGCTATCAGTAATCGCTAACGAGTTCTTCAAGCCATTCAATGTTAGCTACAACCACCGAGCTCTGATCATTGATGGCAAGCGTCGGATGCTTAACTCGCCGAAATTCACTACCCTCGCGCCACTCCTGAGGTACCCACAAATCAAATTCAACTTTTTAAATTTCAGTCTTCGTGGTGAGTTTCTAATAATGATCGTATGTCTTGTTTATGTTTAATTCAATTTCAATTTTATTATGTTTTGAATTGTCTGTTGTTAATCTGAATATTTTACTTTAAGTGGGTGATTGTTCAGTAGTCTAGCAATACGGCCACTTGTGCGGTCACTTGGTGCTCCATGGTAGTAGGATTTAGAAAACCTTCCCAATTTATGCTAATAAATAAATGGTTAATGCTTCAGGCCTCGAGAGCTTCAGGCGCAAATGGCACGAATTTGTGGTCACCGGTCGATTGGCCGGACGACCACCCGGATGATCGGTTGAAGCACTTGTCTATCACGGTTGTCACCTTGTCAACCACGGCTGTCAGCCTCTTTGCCAGACGACCGGCCAAATGACCAGCCGGATGACTGGTTAAACAAATTCGAGCCACAATATTCGAGGCCTGTAGCACGACTCTAAATAAATAGAAGGACTGGCTGTTCAGTCTCGGCGTATATGCTTGAGTAAAACTTGGGTTGTTTCTGGGAGACAAAAATTGGTTAACATGGGACAAGAATTTGAAAGGAACGCTACATTTTGGATTTTTTTCATTTTCGTTCGGGATAGGAAAATATTTGTGGGAAATTTGAATAGACAACAATAATAAGTTTGCTAATTGAGAACAAATAAGAAATCAACACTCAAAAATTAACCTTCTTCTTTAATTGGAAATGGTGTGTTTTAGGTGTTCATAGAGGATTGTTACATCTTCAACTTTAAAAAACAGTCTTAAAGGCAATGGAACTGTTGTAATATCAGAAGAAGTCAGAGCATTTAACATGCTCTTGTGATTCTCTTGGTTCACAAGCTTTTTTCCAACCTTTATATATTTGGGAAATTATATAATAGATTTTAAATACCCATTATGAATAAGGTCATCGCCAGCATGTCCAAGGATAGAACTTTGTGTTGTGATTTTGCTATTACCAACCTCTACACCCCAAGAATGAGATGCAAATCTAATGGTAGCCCTAAGGTTATGCATTGTGGCAAGGTAGACATGTTTGAGGTTGGTTTGTGTTAACCAGCCAATTGTTGAACCAACTTGTTTGCTTATTTTAGTCTATTTTAATTTTCTTTGTCTGTATCATCTGCTATTCTTATCTTTTATTGTACTTTATCCTTTTGTGGTTCATATATTCTGTTATGCACTTATTTTCTTTGGAAAATTTTATGCTTCCCTCAATCTTCTTTAAGGTTTCTTCTGCATGTTTGGTTGTGAAATCTTTAGAAAGCCCAACTGACATATCTCAAATGGTGTTAGACGTGGCCTGATTTGATTGCTAAGAGCAAGGAAGGTGGGGCAGATGTCATCCAAACTTATACATTTTGGAATGGACATGAACCAGTCAGAGGACAGGTGCGGTAATTGTTTTTGCCATCCCATCTGAGGTAATAGCCTTGCATGGTTGACTTCAATAAGTTAGATTTGTTTTACTAAATGATTTCTCTTATTTTTGACTTGTCTGCTCAGTATAATTTTGAAGGGAGATATGATCTCGTTAAGTTTGTGAAGCTAGTGGAATCCAATGGACTTTATCTTCACCTTCGAATAGGTCCTTACGTCTGTGCGGAGTGGAATTTTGGGTCTCACCTTCATTATTTTTTTCTTCTTAAACTTACTAAAAAATCTAAAAAATTCAGAGATATGGATTTGTGATTATGTATCGATTTTAAGTAGTAAATAACAATCCCAATCAGACAATCAAGATAAATCGGCACAATGATTTTAACATGGAAAAATCACAATTGGAGAACATCCAATTGTGATTAAAAAAATCACGGGTCAAAGCCACAAAACAATCCACTAAAAAGACACAAAGGAATTACACAAGTGTACTCTCAATTACCTAGTGAATCCACAACCGAATCGAACCGACCCCTATGTGCCTTTTCTAGCCCCATCTTCACCTCGGAATTGTCTTGTCCAACGTTGAATCCACGACGATTAGCCACTCTGAAATCTACCAAAGCTTCAGGCCCAAATTCCACGGAATCCACCGAAGAACAACTCTCTTTTTTTTAATAAAACAAACTAAACAAACCCTTTAATATAATCCACGGAATTCATGATTCAACTCTCACAGATATCAAAGGAAACAAGTAAAGAAGCTCCAGATGAAAACCCAATACCCAATAAGAAGATCTGGAAGTCGTACCCTAAAACTTGACTGAACCGCAGCTTTTATGACAAACAAATCCGCGATCTCCGCTCGAGCGCAAGAATGGCTACTCGAGCGAAGTGACTAAAACACGTGTGACTAAACAGGGTCTACGCTTGGGTGCAGGAATGGCCCTTCGAGCGGAAAAAAACAAGTCCTAGTACTTTTGTAGGCGAGTGAAACTTCTAAAAGGTCGCAATCTCCGATTAAGCGCAAGAATGGTAGCTCGAGCGAAAAAACAACTTCAATTGCAATTTTGCTTTTGCTTCGAGGGTGCTACCCCTCGACCTCGCCTGGGCGTTGCCCCGGACCCCCACGAGCTGACCGGGCAACTCGATCCCCGACATAGTTAGCGAAGTGGCAAATATGATAGGATTAAGATCACAAACTCCTCTGCATAGGCACAATTCGGGTTGGATTAGCATCTAAATACTTATAGCCTTCCTGAAATAAAAGATTGAATAAAATTACAACTAAAATGAGTTTTGTCAAACGAGATTATCAATAACAAAAACCTAACACTCACAATTTAAACCATGAAAGATGATACCTTTTCATTTTGTTACAATTCAACAAATTGTTGTCTGACCAAGAAAGTTCAGCATCTTTAACTAATGATTGCAATAATTGTTAAGGTACTTAGAAGATGGTCTATCGCTATTATGTGTGTTACGTTGTGACAATAGTCTGGTTTGGATGTGAAAAGCAATAAATTCTGTTTAATGGTGCCAATCACTTGTGCCTCTTGACTTTAATTCTTTGCACAAATAAGTTGACCAAAGTACCACACCAAGCCTCATCCCTTTATATGATGATAGCAAAAGGGGACCTCCTTTTCTTTTCCATACAATCCTTATTAACCACTCTACATCTATTTTTGGGTATCTAGCTATGTTTTTTTATTTTTTTATTTTTTTTTTTTTTTGAGCGAATTATAGTAATAGTCCATGTAATTTAGGACTTGTATCATTTTGATCTCTCACCCTTTAATTGTGATATATTTGATCATAAATTTTGAATCTTATTCCAAATAATGACAATTAAATACACCATTGTTCCATTTCAAAGACAAAGTCGTCAATTTGATAAATATAAACTAGTTTGACAAAAATAAATATCAAAATTATTTTTAAAGTTTTAAAAATTATTTCTATTCACCAAAGATAAAATTATATAAAAATAATAAATCTTTTACATTTTTATTTTATTTATTTTTTTACCAAATTAATTTTTAGTATGTGTTTGGATGATAATCATGCAATGGGTGGTTAATTTTGTTGATATTTTTTACGATTATCATGTAATAGATGGTTGTATTTGTTGTTAACAGATATTTTGAATAATTATCGTATAATGAATGGTTATTGGGTTTTTAATGTGTAATCGATATGTTTAATATATGAAACAACTTTTGTCACACTCCACTTTTTATTACTCGGATTTCTATTACCAAAGCCATTATTATAAATTCAATTTCAGAGATATCATACAGAGACTCATTATATATACAAGGAATACATAAGTAATAATTCTCTCATTCGAATATAAAATGAATGCAACATGAATTTATATTTAAATAAATTGCCCGTAGGATTACATCATTTAAATCAAGAAGAAGGGTTTAACCCTTTTACTTCAATGGCATTCCGCCTACACATAAAAGGCCCCATGGCCAACAAATAAGGAACATCCGTGACCTTGTAGCACATCTCGATATTCACCTAAAAAAGGATTAGCAACGTGGGATGAACATAAAGTCCAGTAAGGATCTCAACATGATCCTCAACATTAACAACTTATAGATAGCTATGATCATGAATGCTAGTCTCATACCATATAAATAATGTGACATTTTATAACCAAAGTATACTTACATAAATACTTTTCTCAAAAACATTCCGTTTATTCAACAACACCAAGGTACGCTTTTACTACCCATTTCCCATTTAAACAATTATTACACGATAACCGTATTTTCCATGTGTGACAAAATACCACATAATATCCGTTTTATTTCGCTTTTTTTTTTTTTTAAAGCACGTTCACAAAATCTGATTTCTTCACATTATTTATACCAAATATACAACCAAAGTCTGTCTCCACACGTTCATCACATTCTCAATCTTAAACTCAAAATTCAACGGAATACTTTCAATAAAATAATTTATGGTAGGAAACTCCCTCAACCACTCTCTAGCATGTCCAAATATACATGAACACATCTACTCAACATATAAGACAATTCAACCTTACAAAATCATAATCATCATAACACATGACACACACAGTCAAACTGAGACAACAATGATAAATAATCTTTGCTCTACCTGCCTGAAGCATGGTAAGCCAATGATACATCTTTTCACAATGAAATGCCAATTTACCAGATACCAACTGGAAGGGAATGGTACCTCTGCCAATTCTCCAAGCGCTAGCTGGAAGGTAATGGTACCTCTGATTCTCAGCGCGGCCAATTGTTACGACCCAAATCTGCCCCTATAGGTTTAGCGTCGTAACCTGCCAGTAATCCGTGATTACCAAAGGCCTACATAACAATAATGACAATAACACAATAAAAGGGGGCTGGCGGAAGCCAATTCAATAATAAAAAATAACGTCCAACGAGCTGTGAGGACTTAAATGTACAAACCCATTTTCAAATATTTATGTATGCACAAACATTTAAGTCCATAAACACTTATATACAAAATGAAACACAAGTTGGGGAATTAAATCCCGTAATCAAAACAGTACAAACAAAAGTCATAGACCACTCTTGCCATTAGACCGATTTTTAAAGGGTGAATCTGAACCACCCAAAAAGCCTTGACACGTGTTGGCTTGGAACCTCGCGGTGAGGCGCAATAGTTGGCTTGACAAAAAAGAGAGTTCAGGTCGGCACCACTAACTCTGATCCGGTGCCCGATCACCTACATACATATATTAAACAGTGAGCTAGAGCCCAGTGAATAATCCCAATGTAAAGATTCACAGCTTATATAAGCAAAACAATGTTCAAAATATTTTTCAGATACTTGTACTAATGAATAAAGTTCCATAAACCTTCAGTAAACTTTCCATAGATCAACACATAGCGCAGTACGTTGTCAAAAGCGTTCCTAGACCTTTAGCAAAATACTATACAAAACGTTCATGACAAAATGAAGTATTTATGAAACATATACATTCAACAGTCATAAAGTTCTTCATAGCATTCAATGTCACTTTCATTTCGTGATGTGATCCAATAGTATTGGTTAGCAAATTAGCAGAACATCCACAATGGAACGAGAACATAGGCATAACGATCGCAATGTATCGACATATACATAACGATCACAACGGATCGATATATACATAACGATCGCAACGGATCGACATATACATAACGATCGTAACGGATCGACTTAGACATAACGACTGCAACGGGTCGACATAGACATAACGACCACTAGGGATCAACACAAACATAACGGAAGTTTCCGATAATCACAACACATGTTCATGGTGTCACATTCGTTGATCAAATAGGAAGGCTCATCATTCTTATCAAACATAATTTTTCAGAAAACTTGTTATTGATAACAAAATGTTTACAGCGGTCCATTAACTTATACAGAACATTATTTACGGATCATAGACAAAACAGTGGTTACTGAATGATCAATACATATTTTCTTATTAGTTGTTCAAAGGGAACTCATTCACTCCTTAGCAAATTTCCTTTTCAGGAAACAAATTACATTGTACACAATTCGGTATGTCAAAGCATAACTTCTAGTTTTAAAAGACTTATTTATAAACTTCATCACATTTCATAATTCTTCGTCTAGAAAAACTAATTTCAAAGTAATTCATACAAACATACTGTTACAAAGAGATTACTCACCTCAAGTAGGTTGGTGTCCTTACACAACGTTCAAACCTACATATCATATATACCAAACACATTAGAACACATTGTTCTAATCACATACTTTGTCTTCTCATTCTAATTCTAATTCAATTATACATGTTGTTTCCTTACATATCAGTACCTTAATGAGTCATAATTCATGCTTAGAAATACTCAGAAGAAGACAGAAGCAAAGATGTAAACACAAAACAACATGTCAAAATATGCTGAAAAGGCTTGGCCGCTCGAGCGGACAATGTGGAAAATGTGAACTCAATTATTTCAATTCTTCAATTTTATGCTCATATGAATTCTTAACATTAATTTACACCCAAAAACTCTCAATTAAACATGGTTTACTATAAATTTATATTATGCATGTCATATTTATGAACCACTTTATTCAAATCCAACCATAGAAACTCATGTAAGTGTCCTACTTCAATTTACATCACATAACATTCTTAATCATGCATGATTCTTTCTCAATTAAGCTTACTTTCAAGAAGA